CGAAAAGAACTGTCTTAGCCATCGATCGCTTAGCATGGTTCCTTGCTTAATTAATGATCCAAACACAATATACATGTCCTAGTGTCCACTAAGAACGAGGACCCGATTGTCCCTGCGACGCATATATTACAGATGTGGCAAACGTCACATGGAACCTAGATGGAGTCCGATTGTTTGGGCCTCTCGATTATTCTACGTGCCCCTTCTTCTTAGTAGAATGGTGCACGTACCGGTCTTCCCTTGCGTGGACTCTTAGGCAACGCGGCCTCCTTATTGAGTGAGCACATAGGCGGCGTGGCATCATGTGCGCTGAGTGACCACCTAGAAAGGGCAGCGTTCTCCGTATTGAGGGAACACCTGGCTTTGACATGTACCTTCTGCTTCTTTGCTACTCGAGCGGTAGGGTAGAAATCATCCAGATCACGGTATTTGATGATCCCTTCCATGCATCCAGTATTATCTGGAGGGCCACGTGCCTCCACTTCTACCTACATGTAGCGAATCATTAGGCAATCATGGGATGTGTCTGGTTTTGATGGCAAAGGGAGATGTCTTAGTCACTACTCAAGGTAAGATAATAAATCGTTTACCTTGCATCCGACCGAGCAAAACTAGGCCACATCCATTAGGGCACGTTTGCATGAAATACAATCAGACCTATGGGGCCCGGCTACCGACGCTTTAATCGACCATGGAGCCTCTACGGGTACCCGCTTGGTGAGATGTAGGACCTTAAATCCATTACTCCCTCCTCGTTCTCTAAAGCAAATCGTTTTGACATTGACACACGATCTTTAAGAAACGACTTTGATCAGTCCTTTTTGCTATAAAATATTTATAAAATATAGTTAATATATACTTTTATGAAACTACATTTCGAGATGAATCTACTTATATCACTTTCATATTTTCAAACTCAACCCAAAAGAAGTTATTTATAGTCAAAGTTTAAAATGTTTGACTTAAGACAACCTCAAAATGACTTATTTTAGAGAACCGGAGGGAGTACGTTCGTACTGTTGTATCCCCGTTATATCGATCGCCCCTACGATATCTTGGACCCGTACCACTTCATTCAATGCTGCTTTACGCACCTGTATGATGATTTATGAGGCATTAGCTATATGTTGCAGTGGATAAAGATTAAAAAAAGCAACGTGCTATTTGGTAAGCAAAAGTTTGAAAACCTGTAACATGCGGTGAGATGGATGACTTCCTTGGCGTGACGTGGCACAAGGCCTCTTGCTGTAGTTCTCGATACCCTAAGCAAAAGTAGCGCATGGAATGTCTTTTTGTTCGCCGATGTGCACCGGACAAGGGTGACTAAACTTGTTGCCGTCAATTAACGCCGCAATGCGCCGACGCTTATGTGGTCTGACACCATTGGGTGTGTGCCTTGCTATGTTGGGGGAGAAGGAGATTTCAACTATCAAATAGTTCTTAGTGTGGTGTTATAGTTTCCACCCTCCATCTAATACAATGCAAAGCGCATCCCCGCTCCTACATGGCAGTTTGCACTGCTGTGATTCAGTACTTATGATAAGAGACAAGGTTACGTGATATCAAAGTAACATATTTATGGGAGGGCGCATGGGAGTGGAAGCTTTGTAAGATTTGGATACCCCACCTATGTGTCTAGGCTCTACTTGCATGGTGCTAGAGAACATGTGAGGGGTGTCTTGGAGGCTCCAAGGGTGGGCTATTTATGGGAACCAAAGCTAGACTGGACTTCCTTGTTTTAATTGGTAAACTTTGATTCCCATAGTGCACACATCAACTATTTAGCAATAGTCATATGAACATTGACCCCGACCTTACCCTTTTTACTAGGTGGCTACGCTTACATACGCACTCCTCTATCCTCAATAGATAGATTCATAGATTTGTCTTAAGTCAAACTTTTTAAACTTTAACAGAATTTCTTAAAAAAGGTAAGATTTATAGTACCAAATTAGTATCAAGTAGATTTAGCATAAAATATATTTTCATGAGGTGTTCATTTTATTTCATAAATGTTGTTATTTTTCTATAAAGTTAGTCAAATTTAAAAGCTTAATTGACACGGATCCTAGAAATTGATTTATTTATGGACTGGAGGGAGTAATGATTTAGTCCACCTTTATAAGACCAAGAAAACTCGAAGCTATATTCATGCTAGATCCTCCACCATCTCATCTGAGTGCAATTTTTACCCCTAGACGACAGTGTACACTACTCACTTGATTAGGGGAGTGTTAGATTTAGAAATAAAACAAACAGTGGTAAATTTAAAATTAGTTTAAAAAGGGTAACAATCAAAAAAAGATGTACATTGTGCTGTTGATCCGTCACTGCTAATCATCGTTGGGTCCACTCGATCAAGTAGAGTAGTGTACATCAGATTGCCTCCCCGCTTAAATCACTGGTTCACCACCCCTGGCCTGGATCAGCGCCGATTGTGAGGATCTCGCCAGGAGATGTGACAAGACAGGACCCGGTGGTATGGGCCAAATAGTTCAATGGTTGTGACAGATGAACCACGTCTCATACTTTAATAAATGCTACTAATACACTTCATCTCAGAGACCACGTATGCCGCCGCTCATCACAGCGCCAGCATTAATTCGAAGCTTACATTAAACACTCAGTGCTTTGTATCCGTGAACTGACCAGCCAGCCACATACTTACAAAGGCATGAGGGACAACTTAGGTCGTTTAGATGTGAAATTTGTTTGGCTTTTGGTTACCGTAGTACTTTCGTTTTGTATTTGACAAAAATTATTTAATTATGGACTATTTAGGTTTAAAAGATTCATCTCGTCAATTACGGACAAACCGTGCAATTAGTTATTCTTTTACTCACATTTAATGCTCCATATGTGCCACAAGATTTGATGTGACGGAATTTTAAAAAATTTTGAATTTTGGTGTGGTATCTAAACAGTGGCCAAACCCACCAGCAGCTGTCCCGAGGGTATTACTTTAAATTTTACACCGCGATTCACAGTCCATGTGCTCGCTCGGACGATCAGATATTAAATGATTTAACAAAAGGGCCGATAGTTGTTAATAGTTGCTAGCTCTTATGATGCATGTATGTTATCTGGCTGCATTCATATGTTCGAGACCACCGATAGCATGCGTGGAGAATCTAGGCGGCGGTAGCATAATATATATTTTTTTATTTTAACATTTTTTTAAATTAATTTTAAATCTAACACTATTTGTTTTTTATTTTTAAATCTAACATTTTTTTTGCTGCGCTACCAGTGGGTTAGAGTGCGTAAATGGTGTGCTGTTGATCCCGGCTAATCATCATGGGTTCCACTTTCTAATCAAGTAGAGTCGTGGGAACTGACTGGTCACCATAGTTAGAGCGCACTATCTCCGAACCTTCCAAGCATGCTGCAAGACAGTCTCCCAAGTCCCAGCTTCAGATCCAAATTGGTGGTACTCGCTCACGGGGGCACGAGCACACCCAGTGGCGACATGGCTCCAGCAAGGTGGTGGTGCTAGCTTCCGACAGCATGCGCTCCTAGTGAGGCGGCAGCACTACATCCTAGCAGCAAATGCACGTGCAGCAAGGTGGCAACCTCATTCCCTATCCGTGGGCGCCGAGAAGCAAGAGATGGGAGGTGGAGATGAGACACCCTCTGTAACCCAATTGTTAGTAGGACAACCATGCAGGACAAGCTTAGGCCACCCCCTTTCTATGCTAAAGAGAAGGCTTTGTCGCTAACATTAGAAACTCATGAAAGATATGGTTGTCCAGATTGTCTCTATAGAGATTCAAAGATGTCGCATAGTTCCATGGTCAACTTACATAAGTCGTATTAAATATTGATGGGTGACATGAACATTGGACATTTGG